ACTACCAATACAATTAACATAAAATCTACAGACATTTACAGAAATTTTAAACTACAGATACATCTAAATACAGTTACATACAAACATATGGAGCATTATTGAGAGACATTTCTCTCTCTCTGCTTACTCTTTAATGTACTGGCTGTGTACTGACCTCTGTTAGGTTTTCCCAACCTTGATTCTTTATTCCCTTGGCTTGTTTCCTCGTGTCTCCCCGGTTTTGAACTCTGCTAGCTTGACTACGATTTTTGGAACTTCCCAACAGTGCCTGGACTGTGTTTACTATACTTTCAGCACCTGGTGTCTTTTTCATTGAGCTGTGTGCGTGGATTCAGCCCAGCTCACAGGCTGCTGTATCCTCCAGGTTGTACCAAATTACTACTCGAGGCAGTTAAGAGGAACAAGGTGGTCTGCCAGAGTCCTGCAGAATGAACATGATACTGTAAATACAGTATGTCAATGCACTTCATATTGCTTTTGTTTATTAGTCTTATAGGAAGTTTAACACTAAACAAACAGAACATCTGACTGGCCAGAAGTCTGGAATGTCTGGAATGTGAAGAGAATGGTATAGCTGTTCTCGTAATATAACAACTAATACCATGACTTCAGAGAATGGGGATCAGGCTGTTTCCATTCACTTCAAGGGCAGCCAGATGAAAAGGAATGGAAATTGCCTCATGGGTCAGTACAGATAAAAAGAAAAGGGCAACAACAGGGTATATTGTAGTGCTAACAGCACAAACCAGTTATGGTATGTCCATCCAAACATAGTCATCCCAGCTTATGGTGTATTGATAACTTCTCTCATGATGAAGCAACACCAAAATTAGAAAAATTAAACTGAATTAAATTCAAATTTTCAGGCTCTTGTCAGTTAACAAAATTCAATAAAATATAAATTCAAGCTATATTCAATCTAGCACTGCATATTCCAGATATGAATTTGAGATAATTGCAATGAATTGCAGTGTGATCTGAATTATTATAATGTAGCAATATTATTAAAATGTGTTTCTGAGTATGTAAACAACAAAAATGTGAAAATATTTTTTATTAGTGTCTGTTCAGTTGCGTTTTCTAATGAGCATGTATGTTCGTTTGCACCTCTAACCACTTGAGTTTCTTAAATGCTTATTTTGTAATTTGCTATCCCTATAACTGTTTTTAGACCAACTTCAAAGCACTTTTTAAAGTACTGCAGTATATAAAATAAAGTTTATTATTATATTATTTATCCAATTTAGGGTTGCTGGAAGCCACAGCCTATCCCAGCAAGCTACAGGCACAAGGTGGGATACACACTGGCCAGGACACCAGTCCCTCACAGGGCAGACACATACTCACACATACAGTAGGGCCAATTTTTCCAGAAGCCAGTTAACCTTGCAGTATGTTTTTGGATTGTGGCTGACCACAGTGGTTTTGACCAGAGCACCCAGAGGAAACCCGCGTGAACAGAAACTGCAGCAATGCTAACCCCTGTACCGCAGCGTCACCTAATCAAGTGATCTGATAACTGTCTTGCTTATTTCAATTGCTGGCACCCTCTCAAGCAAAAGGGTGTCCATACCTGGTCCTGGAGAACATACCGTATATGTGCAGGTTTTCAAGGTCACTTTAAAGCACCGACACCTGAAGAGCTGGGAGAAGCTGTTGAATTATTCCAGTTAGGCCAATAATTGGCTGGTTGAGTTCATTGTACATCATAATAAAGCAGTGAAAATAATGGAAGCAAAACTGATCTACCTGATCGCCATTTAGAATGTGGTTAGTTTATAAAAAAATGTCTTGGGATAATGGAGATACCAAGCTAAATTCACCTAGCATGTACAGTATTTTACATTTTTCTTAATGATTTAAAGCAAATATTATGTAAATATGCTTGAAGAATTAAAGGCACTGCTGCAGGTCTAAAAATGTAAGTCACATTTTATCTGTTTACTGGTATTTCACAGAACTAGCTTTCAGAAAAAATGATTTATTTCAACTTCCAATGAACAACATACTGTATTGCTTCTGTGTTTCTTAACACTTATAATCCTTCTTAGTTCCACTTTCTTATTAATTAAGTGTATTCTTAAGTGTTGTCATGTAGATTTTATCTGCAATATTTTTTATCCTAACGAGGGACTTATGACGCTAAGCACGCTGCCAGGTTCATTATTAGCTTTATTTTTGTAATTCTCCAGTCTGGGATGAATGCCAGTCTCAGCAATATTTGTGGTGCTTCATTAAAGACACACAGACCTGCAGGCTCATGAGAGAAGGTATCAGGGTAATATATCAAGATCAAATTCGATCAAACCTGTGTTTTTTCATTTGTGTTATTAAACTGAGTATGTGCCCTCTGCTCTAAATCTTAATTGACATTCCTTTTTCTTAAAGCAACACCAAATCAGTTCCTTATTTACACAGACAACATGATGAGAGGTCACCTCCATTATTACAGTTTAAATGAACACAATCAATCTTTTTTCCATTTATTGTACAGTATTTACCGCTCAATACTTTAGAGGACTATCTTTTGACTACTGCCACCCTGAATATTTTGGCTAAGTTATCTACAATGTAAGAATGCAATAATGGCCTTTTATTCCATTTCCATTAAAAACAAAAACTAAAAAAGCCGTGGATGTCCCATGTTATTTATTTATGATATTTTTTAGGAATTTTATAACACTGATTATAACATTATTTTCTTTAAATCATTCTGCTTTTGTGCCTTAAGTTAATTTACAAGACACAGATGTACAGTAACTGCTTATCCTTTAAATAGTTCATGTATAGAGACCTGCAATGTAAGTGATTCAGCTCTAGTGACAGGTGTATAACCTTCACAAGCTTGCATTTTCTTGTATTGGTGATCCTCTGTAGCTGTTTGGATGTATTCTATTCCCTTAGGACACCAGAAATGCTCTACTGCAAACCAGAAACATGCACAGAAAATGAAATTAAAGATCTTTTCTAGTACTGCAGATAGAAAGCATACTGAGAAATGATCGGGCAATCACCAAAGCTTTGTCAGCAGAGATAAAGAATTTAAGAATGGATTTGGACCTTTTTACCCTCCTATCTAAAATCTTTTAATTTACCTGTTCTTTTAAAAAACTGTAATGTTTAGATATAATGCAAAAGTGATAGAGCAAATAAAATACTCTTGTTCCAGCTATACAAGAAACCACCCAAAACCTCAAGCCACAATATTATGAAAAAAATATATATTTTAAAAAAAGACACTAATTAAATTTAAAGGTCAAGTCCAAAACCTGAAAGACTCTTCACAAATTACACAAGGAAGGTTGAGCCCTCCATACTTCAGGTGTGATTGCATTGACAGTGTTCTGAGAGCCCGTTTCCAATTTTCCTTTCTATTCTTAGAACAGAACCGCGGTCCAGTTTTGTATTTTGATAAATCAAAGAGGGCCTTACCACCCCTGTGCTCGCATTCATTCACCTGTGTTCTTTTCTCTCTAATTGCTTGACATTATATCTCTGCAGAGACTCTCCACAAAAGAATCATACTTTTCAGCATAATTAAATCAATTACACGTTTAAAAATGTCAGGACATGAAAGTATGGAAATTCCCAAAATATTGAGCTACTGGTTAGAATTACTGTACTGTATAAGTAAATATTCATATCTGGCAAAAGATCAGTCATTGCTGTGTTGTTAACAGTGATCTATTTACTGTACTTATATTTATTTCAGTATATTAAACTCCTAAACTAATCCTATACCCCTACCATCCTATTTATATAGAGTGAATATAAAATGTACTCCAATTTTTTTTTGTTCTATAGTCTCATCTTTAATTAAGCATTTGTGAAATTACTTTTTTAACCCCTTCAAAATATAAAACAAGGAAGAAAATAACTTACATACTGTACTATTGGAATTACTATTGGAACTATTGAAAAGCCATGTAACTAAGACGCACATTCACCCATATTACAATCACTCACCTCAATGCGACAGTGTTACTACAGTAGTTTAATTTCTTACCGATGTTAAAGCTTACAAAAATGAGTGTAAGCCTTCATTCCATTCCTTCTGGTGTTGTAAATGTCAACAACAGGAAAGTTTACTAATCATGTGAGCTAAATGGAACCAAGCATTTACGATTACAGTATCTACATTTTTCATTTTGGTTCCAGAAAGTGCACGAAGTACAGTAAGTATCTACATGGGAAACGGTATGCAAATACACTTTTGGCTTCCCAACTGTAAAAAACAACCGTGAAAAATATTCAGCTCTTCTAAAAAACCTAAGAAAGGTTTGATACCTGAAAATGTCCAGAGGTTTTAGCTGCTGTCTTCTTTTCACTGTTGGAACTGGACATGGTTCTGAGTTTTATTATGGTCAGTTTCCCCTACATGGGCAGCGTTTTCTCACAGAACATGAGCATGAACAGCCTACAGGATTCATTCACCCCTTGTACTGCTAAACGAAGAAGAACATGGCCCATTGGCTTGCAACTTTAAGAGTTATAACTGGCATGAAGGCTGTAAATTGTCCCACCCCTTCTAGGACTTAAGTGACTTGGTGATAAGGGACGGAGGAGTGGATTTTTGGGGTGAATGAGCTTTCAGATGTACTGTAGGAACTGATCTGTGTCCCTGGAGTGAAACTGAAAGTGACACTGGGATAAGACATGTTAAAACTGATTATTATTGTGTTTTATTGTGAATAGAGGTGACGCCCCTTACCCATATGTACTGTATTCATAAAAATGTGAAATTTCTATTTAATTTTGAGAGACGTCTCTGTCCCTTTTTTTCTGCCTGGAGAAAAAAAAACAAACTTGAAATCATTTTTCACATTCCACAATATCCTTGTTTTACAGTTCAATAACATTGTGCATCAAAATGGTATTTTCAGTTATTAAAAAGTAAAAGAAAGAAAAAAAAACGGGTCCCCAAACAGTTGCTTTTAATATAGCATGGTCAATCCTGCTGTCTGATTTTGAAATGAAAAGAGGAATAGAAGGTTAATTACCTCTCCCGGAGCAAGGCAGGCTGGAACTTCCTTGGCATTTTTTGAGGCTGGCCTCCAAGGAGAGATGACAAGAGAGTGGATGTTCGCATTTCTTCCCTGTCCAGCCTTCTTTACAGTCACACCTTCCACAGTTGCATTGTCCATGACCTTCACAGAGGATACATATGAAAAAGATGAGGATTTATTTTCCGGAATGATCTGTCGACAAATCAAGCTAATACACAGGTTCTGGTCACCAGCATCTGTGTGTGGAGCTGTAGCAACAGAAAGGCTTGGCGAGCCTAGGCTTGTACTTGTGGTCTTTGCTTTCAACATTTACATACTGTAGAAATACAGTACCTGTCAGCCCTCTGGGACAAATAACAAGTTAAAGTATAAAAGTGGGGTAGCTTGAGAAAGAAAAAAATCAACTTTAATTCATTAAGAAGTTAACTTATTTAAAAATATTGGGGAACTTTGAAAAAGAACCTTGGCTTTTATTTAATCATTATACTCTAACTGCAGCCTCAGGAAGAGAAAACAACAAGTACAAAAGCACTTGTAAATCTCAGTGTTTCACACAAGTAATATTTGGGGAATTTTGTAAAAGAAATGAAAAATATATACTTTTAAGTACTGTTTAAAACACATGGATGGAAAAAAGAGACATTATTTCAAGAATAAACAAAACAAAATTGTGAAATGCATATGACATCCACACCACTAATAGAGAAAAATTTGCTATTGGGAGAAAAGTTATAAAAAAATCCATAGCAAATTATGAATAATTTGAACACTATTTCAGAAAGACAAGGAATGAATTAGCTGTCAAAAATCCAAACCTACACATCCAGAAAAAATAGTAAAGGAAAGCCTAGAATTCCTGTCACTATATCTAAATTCAGAAAATAATAACCTTCTGAATCTTCAGGTTATATATTGTAGTCCTTCACAATCTAATGCTCCCTAGAGTGTATCAGGACATTGTATACATTGCCAAAATCAATACATCATTAATTACTGAATCCATTTGCCTGCCCTACACCACCCAGGAGCATACTAGTTTTGGTAAGGAGACAAGCCAATTAAAGATTTCTGAGAGAGAACGACACATACCATTTTATTCAGCGGCTAAAAGGTCTTAATCTATTTTAGAATAGTCTGCTGGACACCAATGGTTTCTTTGCAGGGTAGCAAGGATGTCATTAAATTTTAATTTTTAGTAGTGGGTGAAAACAACCACAAGACGTACTAAAATATATTTGAGTCAAATGTAGCACAAAGCTCTTTGTACTCGTTTATATTTATTTAGTTTGTATTGCATGTTTTAGGGCTCAATGTAATGAAAATGACCACCAAGATCAAATGTTTTGTTGAAGATCAAATGTCTGGTTGAAGAGACAGATTTTCAGTCCAGCCTAAGCTGTCATGAATAAAAAAAGTCCAAACGAGGACCATAAATTTAATCTTATGAGAATCACAGGTCTGTGGTGAATTACATTAACCTGCATGCACAAGTCCAAACAGGGCACATTTATTAAACACAGCCCATTGCCCGGGTTCACTTCTTTTACCTGAACTTAAGGAGCTGATGAGAGAGACAAAATTCTACCTCTGAATAAGCAGCCCTGAAAAACATGCACAATACACTACAACAGAATACAGGTACCAAGCAAAAAATTGAGAAGGCTCAACCACATTCACAACTGGCAGTGCAGGTTTGTACATCATCCAGGGTCTGCTTCAGATAGACATACAAGAGACTAAGCTTTATTCCACAAGCATAAATTACTGTGGACATTTTAATATTAAGACAATAGCAGATACAGAAGAGCAAGACAGTATTTCCATAAAATTTGAAAGTTCCTCAACTAATTTTTCAAGTTCTTCAAAAAGGAGAAAAAGTTGTTTTGTTTTTCCATTGGTGTGACAAAGAGAATTATTTTTGCTGGTTAGAATTTCAGTGTGGAATATCATTAATGGCTCCCTTCTCTCTGAATTTAATAAAATGTAATTCAGAAAGGGATTTGCTGATTCAGATAATTCAATAATACTTCAATTGTGAAATCATACTGTTCCCTGCAGGAAAACACTCTATTTTTATTTCTTTCAGTCAAAAAAGAATACAGTCATGCAAAGATCTGCTTGAGGGAGTTATGATAATTAAGAGTTAAGATAATGAGTGACGAACAAGAACAGAAATACAAATATTACATCAGGCTGTAATAATGTCCTTTTATTGGAGAAAATACAGTATAATGTTGTTAAACAGTGCAGCTGCTATACTTGCAAAAGCATGAAAGTGATTTATTAGTGTGCATAACTCTAGGAGTTTGAATATTATAATATCTGAAATGCCAGAACTAGTATTCTGAATTGAATAATGAATACTGAGTAAATATTGTCTCAAACATTGCATCAGCTTTCAGGACTACTTGCACTAAACATAACATATTTGAATTCCTCAAATGAGCAATACACTACATACTGTATATATTTGTGTACACAGCTGTATACAGTATATACAGGTACAGTACATACCACATATACGGTATACAGTCCTGTCTACAGTACAGTATATACAGAGTATATACAGTAGTATATACCTCATGCAGCTGGGTGATAATACTTCATTACTCCATGCATTACATGCTTCATTACTGGGCAATAATACTTCATGCTCCATTAAAATAATTATTTACCAGAGCAAAAATCATCTGCATATCTGTTGTACGTTGAATGGCAGCTCCTCTCATCACATTCACAGGTATCGCCATGAATATCTCCCCAGTCACCGGTGGGGTCCACATCATAGCATGTGCATTCACCACAGACGCAGGTTCCTGTGAAGGAGGGAAAGTGACTGGAATGAACATCTAAAATAGTTTGTATTAGTAATGAAGACAGTAATGGCTTTCCTGCACTTTGATCCAACTACATGATTGTGCTATAGACTCCACTCTGGGGAAGAAATAATTGATATTTAATATTTTTTAAATATAAGTCACAATGATATACAATTCTTGCAACACTGTTCTGAGATAATAAATATGCTTTTTTGCTTGGAAGGGGCGGAGACAGACAAAGGGGAATTTGAAGACAAATGGCTTAATTAAATACAGACCTTGATAGGGAGAAAATTAATAAAATAAAATTTGCTTTTGAAGATTTCCAGAATAATCTTTAATTACTGTCTTTTCTTCCGTGTTTATGAATGGTACTATCATCCTGTAAATATATTGCAAGTAATATGTTTTCATACTTTTACACTCTTACCTTTAGTATCTTGTCTTCTAGACCCGAAATTGAGTTTCAAGTAATCATTTGTTTGATTTTCATTTGTTTGTGTGTTCAGATTCTGCTATATGAAAGTGCTTTATATAAAGCATGGTTTGTAGATAAAAAAGGTCATTAAACTGTAAAATCTCAAGTAATACTCAGACTTTCGATCCCAGATGAGCTGTCCTCTTTTTTCTCTTTTTTAGTGTAGGGTTTGAGGGATTGATCTTAAAACAGTAGGATATTGCAGTAATGTTTTAAAAAGAAAAGCAACTTTCCCTGGGATTTCAAATCCAGTGCCATGACATTGGTAATATCAGCCACCAATAAAACCTCCCAGAGTTCTATCAAGGTCTGCCATCTGTGTACTGAAGAAACCCAAGCAGCTCCAGTTGCTGTAAATGATTGAGATGGCCCTTCTGCAGATTCAGGGGCACGCTGCCATCCACAGATGATCGTTCTTAGGTTGCAAAAGGCACAGACTGTTCTATTCGCAGTCTCTCTGCCAGTTTCTACTTGTTTTCTTTATTAAAACCGGAATCCTGGCTGAATACCACGAGTGGCAATCCCTTTTCCCTCTTATCTCCTTCAGAAGGGATAGCACATAGGGAGCAGATCCAACTGGCATCCCATTCTGGATGCTGTGGCATTCTGCATGCAGTACATGTTGATTTTCTCTTCAACTAGTGCTCATCAAATCTGTGCTCTATCCTTACTGAACTGTACTGGTAAAAAAAAAAAGACTGCGAAGGAGGAGAACACCTTGTAGTTAGTGCAGAGTCCTTGCAACTCTCCTAAACAAGAAAGCCTCTAATTTTTTTTACACTGTCATCTTGATTTAATTTGATGATCAGTCTGAAGATTTATTCCACAACTGGACTGTTAAAATCTTGTTACTCCGCACGTTAAAAAAGGATCAGCTTATCTTCCCAGTTCTGGAAATTAAAATCAATAAGCAGGTACAGTACATGTTTTCCCAAACTAACATTTGCTAAATACTACAGGTAGTCTACATTTATTAACTGTCACAAACACTGGAGGTGGGGATGGTTAGAATATGCAGCTATCCATTTCACACCGACAACAAAACACTCCAATAAACATACTCATCACTTCTTTTTTGTCTGTATTATTACATATTATCATGCACCTCTTTAAATGAGACTTCAACTTCAATGGCCCTGAATTGAAAAAAAAATAGGACAGCTTCTTATTCTCCATGATCTAAATGAACTCTTCACAGCAAGTTATGTCTTACATTCCATGGTCCAAGTTCAAATTGTGTGCCATTTTATATTAGTGCACTACCAATCCATGCAGTCATTTTGCCTATAATTAACATTTCTGAAAGTTCCCAGGGCAATTCCACACTGACATTATAGTGTGCTTTCCTAGACATGATGAATTTCAGGGAGGATATACCAGATGAGTATTTATTTTATTCCCCTAATGCAAGGTAATAGTTTTGGGCTGAAGCCAAATGTATAACATTCTCATTTGTAACTGTCAGTTAGGGTAACCTGAACTCATAAGAGACTGAAATGAGTTTTTCGCTTCGTTTTCGATGTGTGTAGGGCATTGCTCAGGAAACCCCCTGGCAAAAAGTATTTCCTGAAAAGCAGGCGTTCAAGGTCTTTTTTGTTCCAACTGACATGAGAGGATGGGACAAAAAGGCTGACTTGTGAAGCAGCAAAGTAAAATTGAATTACACATATCAATACAATCACAATGAAAGATAATGTGCTTTGAGTTTTTTTTTCTTGTGACACACCACATCTGCATTTAAAGTGGTTTTTAAGACAGACCTCGGTTGCTACAGATCTTGCCGTCTGGAGACGTGCATCTCCTTTTGCTCTCCCATGGGCTGATGTCACACTGGAATTCACATTTATCTCCATGCCAACCAGCCGCACAGTAACAGTTTCCACAGTAACACTTTCCATGGCCTGAAACCAGAGAGTAAAGATGCTTTAACCATTTTTAACAGACTCTTACCTGACCTTTCAACAGAGTTAATCCTTCACCATTATTACTCCCGCTGGACTACTGAGCGATGTTTTCAACCCAGATCAACAGAAATGGACCCGCTGCTGCAAGTTGTCTTTGAATCCATGAGAAACAAGGGCAAATAATAAACGAGCAAGACCAAACTTTCTTGTGCCACAGTTTAGATACCATGTAGGACAGTCACAAATTGCTGTTGTGTTTCCATCTTGAACACCTGTGTCTAGTTAATTTTTTATTCTTTTTTTAATTAAACAGTGCCCTTTCAATGCAAATGTGTGGTTAGGCCTGTCAGTTGTTGCTTTGTTCATTCAGTGAACGTTAATTGGCAGCAAGAGTACATCAGTTGTATGATAAATGAAAATTTTCCACAAAAAGGAGATTTTTCTTAATGTATCTTTTGCCTCTATTTATTGGTAATCTATGCCAATCATGGGAAGTTTTTTCTATCTTCTATTATTAGTATTTGTTTAGAGATGGAACACCATGTCTGCTACGCACAGAAGCCAGGTATAAAACAATGTATGGAATACCAACAGGACTTTCACTGTAACATATTCAGAGGCAGCTCTTAAGCTAAACTTATTACACCTACAGTACATTCTGTGAAAGCGCCACATGAAATTTCATTAAAGGTGCGACATACTGTACAGTACCCAGGATTCATTAAGTTCCAAAAAAGAAAATAAGAAATAAGCAATATAAAGACATATAATCACTCTTTGATTACTCTGATTTGGTCTTAACTTAAAGAAAAAACAATATGAAAATGAAATTTTTATCTGAAGCAACAGCATTGGTACTGTAGATACGGTGCATGAAAAGGAATAAGAAGGACTTATGATTATGATACATTCAAAAATGATTCTATCCAACATCTATTCTATCCTTTAATGTTAACAACTGTTAAAATAGAGTGTTATTTGGAGCATTTGGGCCTGGACTACCAGACTCAGAGACAGTTTTTACCTCCGCACTATGAAACTATTAAACTCCCAGCCTCTCTCACCCATGATCTGAACCCTTACAGTATCTTCTCTCTTTATCAAAACTCAAACACACATTGAAATCTACCTCTACCTCACATGTCAAGATGTTCACTCCCCATAATTTTCTATCCTTTATTTCATTCTGTTGACATATGATTTTGCACAACTGTTGTTGTTTTGTACATTACCTGTTACCTTTTGTTTTTTTACACATTATCTGTTCTTGTTTTGCAAATCGCCTGTTGCTGTTTTGCACATTGCCTGTTGTCTCTGTCTTTCTTTTCTTATACAAATGTATTGTTGTTTGTTTTGTGCTACTTACCACCTGAGAGCTATCTAAATAGCATTTAGTTATACCTGTGTATGAGTATAATGATAATGAACTTATTTTGTCATCTTCTGGAATTCTGTCAAGATATTTAGGTCTCCGAGTTAAAGTCAGTTCCTAAAAAAACATGTTCAGAGCTGTGTCTCCAATTCATGCTGTTTCTCTCTTAACAGAAATGAACAAATACCAAACCCTGTTCCTGCAGACATAAAAGCTATGGTTAGTGGCTGTGTGTTAGTTTTGTGCTGCAAATGATAAATGAATAAAGGTGACAATTTCTTTTTTTTATTATTTTTGGACATAATAAGAAAAGAAACCAACTTGTTAACTGAAAAAGGAGGCTATTTTCACAGCCCCAGATATAATATGGATAAAACCTGATTTTCTGGTAAACCGAATTTCTACCAAACTGCCAAATATTTTTGTTATATCCACCAGATGTGTAAAAAGCCAGTTGTGTGTTTTTTCAGTCCTGAAAGTTACCTTGTATTTTACAAAGCACACTCCAGTAACCTGCCCTCCTCTGAGACACTTGTGCTTTAACACATCACAGGCACTGCACTGCCCACAGTTGCCCAGGAAGCCATAGACCTAGAGCCTTCAGAGTCCTGGTCAACTAACATCACCCTGCCCCTGGCACATCACCTGATTGTGCTTGTACAAGGGGAATCCCAGTCAGAGCTGGCCTGTGACATGACCTCCATCTCAGAACTCAAATATACTCAGGCACGTACTGTGCCTTTACTGGAGAAGCCCCTCGGAATGCCCCATTTCTATCTGATGTTTACTCTGCTTGTTGTAACTGCTGCACTGCATTCTGCTTGTTACTGTATATTGTACTTTCAGCATGACGTTTTACCTATAGTATTGTTTACTATTTTTTTTCAAAGAGGGCTTAATTATTTGGAGAAACATTAATTTCTTTCTCATTTTCCTTTTTACATGAGATGTATCTAGTCTACTGGTTTTGTAAATGTACTTTTTAAAACCCCTTTAAACCTCTAGGTTGGAAATCCTTCTTTCAATATCCTACAATCCTAATTTTAAACCAAGTTTAATTAATTTAATTATAACTGAAAACAGATTCACAAAACTATATATATAAATCCAAACAATTTGGATTGTTAATTTTAATTTGAATTGCAAGAGATTAAATTAAACTGTGAAATGCTGACAAATCCTCATAATAATTTTATTTAATTGGAAAGGAAAAAGCTTGCTATCCAATTGTCTCTATCTAAAAACTAAAGGGCAAAATTGAAATTTAAATACTCTGAATGTCTGCTGTATATATTTAGTAAATTCTACTGTATTGAAATAGCTAATAAATTCAAAATATAGACTTCAGTTCGGTTAGAGAATCTTTCTTCAGGATACAACTGTATGAAATCAAAGCATAGCCTCTATTTCGGTTAAACTAATCCCATTTCCACATGAAGGGGATATTCTGTCAGTTTTCAAGGGCAGGATTTTTTTGGGGGGGTTTGTGGGGGAGGAGGGAAGTGGGAGTATTTTTTTCAAAAGAGCAATCCCTATTTTTTAAGTGGGTAAAGGGCATACCTCCACACACCTCTCCGGTTTCCTCGTCCAGGCACTCTCTGTCATCGCACTCACAGAATTTACCATAAATCAGACCCTTGCCATCCGGGTTGTTACACATGCAGCTGCCGCAGTGACAGGAGCCTGTGGAGCAGAGACATCAACTTCTATGTAGACCAATTTAATTTAATCATTTCGCGCCTAGGTTCAGGGGAGCCAGCACTCTTCCCCAGATCCCCTGCTGTCGCCATTGCTTGTGGCTGCTCAGCCAAGACACTAATTTCACATCCCTGGCTCTTCGGTACAGTACAGTATGTGTGCTCTGAGATATTTCACATCTGCAAAACAGATGAGTCCTACTATTTTCTCGCTACTTTGTGGGCAGCACATCCAACAACTCAACAATGTGACCTGCACAAAAGGCTAGGGCATTAAATCAGCAAATTTCAAGGCTATCTGTACGTGGAATTTGAAACAGATAATATCCTGGGTAGCACCATGTTTTTGTGTAACATTTTTTTCCTTTCAAAGAAGCAGGACAACTATGATAAGGAAGCTTTGTAAAAATGTACCATGGGATTACTGCTCTATTAAACATATGGTACTACTGAGATAAAATAATACAGTAAAATGTCTTCTTACAGTAAAAAGGCTGAGTATAATTTCATGATAAAAATACATTGCTCTGAGTTAAATCACAAGCCTATACTGTAGGTGATCATTGAATAATCACAATCCAAGTTTATTTTCTAATTTCTTAAATCTGGTTAGATTTATGGTTAAATGCACCTTCCACACAGCCACATCTGTTGAGAACTGGAAATGTAGTTCAGGTGTTGGTTCTTGCAATGTAGACTTTTGAAATGTGTGTTTTTTAATTTCCTAAGTAATCTTTGAATAACACAATAAATATTATTTGCACATTATATCTTTCTCATACAGGTGTCTACAGTGATTTTCAGAAATTAAATCTACAGTCCTTTGGAACATTGTTTTGCAATATTGTGTCTGGTTTATTATTCATATTACAAATAATATTAATATTTTACAATATTATTAATATTACAAAACCAGCAAGGAATATTACTAAATAATGTTAAGTGGAAGTTAATTACAATAAGTGTGTTGATTGAAGTGCTAATAAAAGTTTCATTAAATAGTCATATAATGAAAAGTTTTGTTGATGCATACATACAGGGACAGTATACTGTATGGCTCCATGCACTTTTCAAACAGTAGTATTTGGCATTTAACGCACTGGCATTTTAACCGATACAGCTAAAATGTATTGGGTATTCCTGACTCTTAACCTATTTAACCCTGAAACCATGCTCACTGAGTGCAACATTCAACACTAAATTTCCAGTAACAGAATACTAAATAAAAAATAAAATTGTACCACTGTTGATACATTTTGTTTGGTTTGGCAAGGTTGCTATGTCTTTTCAAACTAACATTTTGATGCCCTAAGTTATATTTTCTGCTTAAATGAGTGGAAGGTTGCATTAATTCTTTGAAGGAAATCTGAACCCTAAACCTTTCCTACCCAAACCCGTAGCTAGGGTTAGGGTTAGAATTATTAGAAAACATACAGGATGTTTGCTGGGATGGCTGTGTTTTAGGACAGAAATGAAATTTCTATGGCTGCCGTCGCATCATCCAGGTGGGTTGCACATTGGTGGTGGTGGAGGGGAGTCCCCATTACCTGTAAAGCGCTTTGAGTGGAGTATCCAGAAAAACACAATATACTGTACTGTAAGTGTAAGGTATTATTATTATTATTAAGTCAGGGTATCAACTTAAACAACTTTCTTTTTCCACAAAATGCATTTTGTAAAGTGGAGAATTATCGAATGAATCCTGGAAAACTTCCCCTACCTGCATTAGAGCAAACCACTCCTTGAGGATTCTTACATAACTCTTTACTTTTCCTTCTTGAAATGTTACAGTCTTCTTGGTACTGGCAGGCCTCCCCAAACCAGTTGTCATCACACACACACTTTCCACAGTCACAGGTGCCATGACCTGAAAGACAAAGCCAACAACAATAAAAGCTATTGCATTTAAACTGTAAATGGGTACTTCAGTAAAACCTCCTGACTTCCAGTCTGAAATTGAAGTTCAGTTAGGACTCTCCATGGTTTAATAACAAATAAATACACAGCTGATTTGCTTCCATGATGCATTAGGTAATGATAACACACACCATGATGCATTTTGTATGTGAAACACAAACAAACGGTTTCGCAAAATCTTTTGGAAAACATAATATCATTCTTTTCACATCAAAAGAAAAGAATGTCAAAGAACTCATGGATATTTTTGGATGAATATTTAAGTCTAAAAAAACTTAAAATAACTTTGCATTTAATATTCTACAAGAATACATTACATTAATAGAACAAAATTAATCAAACTTTCAAGGGCCTCAGAAGAGAGCAAAAACTGCTGCTAAATTCCTATGCTACACACTTCCAAAATATAAGCACTAAAATCATTGGTTTTATTTATTTCTTAATCATATTGAGTCTGCAGCTCACAGACTATCAACATAGCTAAACAAAAAGACATTTGACAGTTTGCAGCAGAAAACATTAACCCGTTAAAATGCATTTCTCTGGTCTGTTATCTAAAAATGGCTTCAAAAGGTTGAAAGGTTTTATGCTAGGAATTAATTTTTGAGCAGTAATAAATCGTAATTAACAAGCTAGTTTAATTTCTGAGTGGTTATACAGTATTAAGGAAGGATCTAATATATCTTCTGACCACAGATATTGTCAGACCTATGAATATCTTTTAAAAAAATGTAAGATCAATTACATCCATATTGTTTACACAAAATAGAGAAGAATGTTAACACAGTCAAATTACTGTATTATACAGTATCAAATAATTTCTCTATGAAGTCCTGTAAAGACCAAGAATATAGAATTGCCTGGTAGGCTTAAATGAACTCCACTGTGGGATAGGTTATAGTATAACAAGGAAATACAGCAGAAAATCCCTGCTCCTTCAGATTCAACTGAGATACTGTCAGTGTGTTGGAAAAAAGGTTGCATTTACCTGGGTTTAATCTGACATTCACAGAAAATACCCCACTTTCCCTGCACATCCTCCACATTCAGAAAAGTTACCTTTAGGTCTAAGTCTGTAATGGACTAAAATATATGATTTCTCCAAATCACAGTAATTTATACTAGTAGAAGTATCCACAGTATTTGTTTTTTAAATAACTGTAGGTTATTAATTAAGTGATTGTTATTAATTAATTAATTGTTATTGGGACATTTAAGATTAAGAACATACCTAGTTTTACACTATTATTTTTAAACAATTTAAATTCTCATAGTTTACATACCTTCATTTCCTGTGACCTTATCCTTGTCACACCAGGTTCATTGTATCATCCAAGAATAACTCAATATGCAGACCAGAACCTGTTTCTTAGTGTGATGATTGGAAATATTGAGTCTAATAAGCTTAAATGCTTTTAATGCCATACAACACTTGACTGAGAGTCTAGTCCAACTCAATCAGGAAGGCTAAAGCAATCTTGCAGGAGCCACCAATTATCCAATGATAAAAAGGTTATTTAACATGACAGTGATGAAGAAGGACAAAGTGAAATTATTCTTTTCTACTGAGGAACAGAACAAAGATAGTGTATCTTGCTAGTACATACTGTAATGTGCTGGTTTTGTAAGAGAAGTTAGTAGATTGTTCAGGTGCTGATTGTCAGTGAAAAAGAGGCCAATTCTCAACATTTTACTTCATGTACAGTAAGCAGAGTAAAGAATGAACAGGAAATATACTGTAGATCAAACACCTGTGATGAATTACAGGCAGGAAAAACGTGTCCTTTTGAGTTGAATGAAGCTAGAGCTGTACTTGCATTTCAAACCTAAATGTGTTAATTGAAGTGCTAATAAACATTTGCACACACAGTATAGGGTGAATTGAGCTTAAAGTTGCAATTATTCACCTGGCAAACGCATGCTATGTTAATGCAGGCTGTCCACACTGTACATGGCTCTGATTATATGAAATTCCTCATCAATATTTATGACAGATGAGATTCCATCACATGCAGAGATGTGCTTAAAATTTAAATTTGGATGTGAAATGGAACGCCATTGGAAATGTATCTAAAAATGAAGACAGCTATGACCAAGGATGCAGAACGAGAAATAACATCCATAAGGCTTATTTCTCGTAATACACTGGCACTATTATGCCAGGGGGCATTCTTTTCCAGTCACAAAAAAATGACCCAGTAACATCCAATAAACATGTCTGTAAGTCAGTCTCTAAAAAAAATATTAATCTGTCCAAGAACAGCACACTTATTAAAATTGTGCCCTCTGGAGGACAACAGACATCTGCTTGTTTTTTTTAAAATGGCCATACAGAGAGTTCCGGAATATTCCAGCAGGACTTGTCTTGTAATAAGAGAGGGCCTGAGGGTGATAAATGGAACTGGTGACAAGTGCTTTTGGGCACTACTGAACTAGCTTCTATAGCCCTAAGGCGACAGTCTTGCTGTTAAGTGGAAAGTATTAGTTTCTTGATTATATTTTCTCCCTTAGTATTTGCATTCTGTTGGGGCCGGGCTGCCCCTTTTCTAAATTTCAATGTATTTTATTTTAACTGGAGCTGATGTAAAAGGTTGAACTTGTAGGAACAACTCACCAGGCAGACGAATGGAGAATAAAAAAGAAAGCTTATATAATAACAACTATTTTATTTTTTTCTCCTGAAGGATTTAGATATCTTTGGAAAACTGACATGATATTATTGACGCCCCAACTGCAATTACTTGGTTGTTAAGACACTGACTGCAAGAGAAAAGATTACATTTCTGAAAAATGAGTGCAGGGTGATTGTGCCTTTCTGAAACAAACTACATTTACAATTACATGCTTTTAACCATTCAAAAGGGGGAAAAATAGAAATCTTCTGCACTGGAATAATGTTTATCTCTGCATTTTAAAAATGTCCCTATTGGAAATTCTGGATTAAGCAATAGGTTTATGTAATTTTTAAAAAATCCCTTTTAATGTTGTGGTGCTCTTTCATATACATCTAACATGATTGCATGTGATGGAAGTACCATGTCTTTCATTGAACTGGGTAAATCCAGTTCTGACAGGATGGAGGATTAAACAGAGCTACTCTACTCAAGGTCCTGTTCTGAGGTCACGTTCCATCAGTTTTAATTAGTGGTTTTTTCCCCACTTATGTTTTAAACTAAATGTGTCCACAAAGACAAAGACTTGAAACTTGGAAATTATTAATTTCTTTGCTCTTACAACAATCCATCTTTCAAAGGCTTCATTCCATTCAAATTCCCTGGGGAGCTGGAGTGGCAAGGAGTGAGTGCAAGGTGGGATACACCCTGGACAGGATACCAGTCCAGAACTTGTGAGGCTCTACATGGATTGGCACCTCAATACCTACTGTAGCTGACTCATTATCTCTCTACTTACCACCTCGCAATCTTTGTCTGACTGGTCGTCTTATTCCCCCAAGCTTGTTTATACTTAATGGGTGAGAGAGCCTTCCCTTCCAAAACTGTGGAATTTTATTCCCAAGGATATCAGAGAGTTACCCTTGAGTGCATTTCAATCTTAAATCTTTTCAGAAAGGCTTTTAGTAAATGAGTGTCTGATGATCTAATAACCATCAACAGTATAGTGCATTTTCTAATAACCACCTACAGATGCAGCCATTCAAAACAAGCAGGCGATACCGTATTATTTTGCACGGTGCGCTTTATGCAGTCTACTGTACCACGAGTTACCGTAAATTCTCGGATAGTACCACAAGTAAAATAATAGTATCCGGACTTTCCGCAAGGTGGAGCTTATAAAGCTTGACCTCTCATGTTTGAGCTGTCGCCATCAAAGTCTTTAACGAAGATATTACTAATAGTATTAATAATGAATGAACTTGGACAAGCTGTAAACTCAAACTATTGCCCTGGTCCACATTCTTTTTTTCATTGACCATCTTTGTAAAAGTAACACCACAGCATTTCGCGATCACGCATTTGTTTCCAATCATGCAAAATACAGTAATTTTTGAGAATCTCCGATTCACCATGCCTTTCACATGCTCATAAAAGGGATTGATTTAGGAACATAAACATATTACTGTATGCAAACTGTACTGTATACAGTATGTATACTGTATGTATATTTAATGTCTTTACTGTGCCCGTTTTAGTATTGAATATTTATATGGAATTTTACCACTGAAGGGAAATGTTAGTAGCTGAGCATAAAAAGAATAGGAGCATACTGTAACGCGTGTGAAGGCCATAAACGATATTAATTTTGGAATATAAACATATAGTATATGGCTGGTTTCGGTACTTTAAAGAAAACATACACACCAGTATTCCATTTCTCCCTAAACATTTTAAGCATTGAAGTCTTTAACTAACGTGATACCGGAGTCAACAAGCATACTTTTAGAATTTGATTAAAAGGGAATATAATATAGATATTCAATACTAAAACTGACACAGTAAAGACATTTAAATCTTTCTACGACCAACCAATGCACCACGAGTGCCCCTGTTGGTCAACCAATCACGTACCGCGGTATTTTACGTCAACGTGCGTCACGATGCGCGAGACCGTAGCCAATTACCTCCGGTACACCTCCTTACATGCTTGTTTTGTAGTTTGCTATCTGTTACGAAGCGTTTTTCAGGACCCTGTGCAGAGAGTAGAATTTGGAAGGGAGAGAAACAGACACGGGGAGGAGACGACGAGGAACTGGGCAGGTTGACGAACAGGGGGTCATGACGACGGTGCACTGGTGCTCGGGGGGGCGTGGTCCAGGCGATCAAGTCTGAGGGAGTCCAGGGGGAAAACCGGGGCAAAGTCCAATAATCCAAAAACCAGGAAATTCAGAAGAGACGACAACACAACAAAAACTGGAGTGGGATCCGGTGAAGGGTCAGGGAGATAAAAAAGGGGTAACGGGGCCAGGCGCTCCAAGTCCTGGACTCGACTGGG